GAATATGGTATCATTATAAAAATTAAAAATAAGGTGGATAAACCAAAGGCTCTCTTGATTCAGCCCTTGTAATTGCACTCCCCTCTTGGTTATCAGTCTTTCATGGATCTTTCCAGACTGTTTTTCACTAACAATTTATCTTGGAAATATTTCCATGTGAGTGCATGCATATGGACCCATTCTACACAGAGTGTAATTGCTGCAGAGAATTCCCTAGTATGAGAATATTGTGGTTCCCTTATGCTATTGATGGATATTCTCCTCCCCAATATTTTGCAATAACAGTGCCACAATGAATATCATTTTGTCTGCTTCTTTATGCATAAATGCTAAGTATTTGTTTTCTACACAGATGCCTAAAAGTAGAAGTCTGGATAGAAGGTATACATATTTGATTCTGCATATTCTTTCCATATTTTTATGTCTGGTTGAATGTTTTAATTTTTCATGTATTGGTAAGAGTTCTTTGTGTATTTTGAACAATAATCCTTAGTCTGATATACACATAGACGCACACACAAATGGAAGTATGTGCGCATGTGTGTGTGTGTATTTCTCCAAGTTTGTTTCAAATTTTGCTTATTGTCTTTGTCATAAGAAATTTTGTGTTTTTATGCAAATTTATCACTTTTTGTTTTGGGTTTGTGTCTTTCTCATGAAAACTGTTCATATGCCAAGGTTGTTTACATATTCTTTTTTAATTTTGTTATCCTATAGGTTTTTTTTTTTAACACTTAGCTGTTTAAATTACTTGCAATTTAGTTTTTTATGTTGTAGGGTATTACCTGATATTTTTCTTTTTCCAAATTGAAAGTCAATTTGTCTGCATTACTTACTGTGTAATAGCCCATTTATTCTCAGCCCAAATTTAAATGCCATTTTTTAGTAACTAAATTTCTAACTATATTCATGAAGCTGCTTCTGTACTTTGTAGTAGATTTTCTTGACCTCTTTCCTTATTTCTAGGTCATTACCACACAGTTTTGGCTACCGTAGCTTTATTGTATGTTTTGGTATCTTATAAGGAACCTATCATTTTTTAGCAGTCTGTCTTCTCCTACCAGATGTTTGATGGATGGGACGGAGTCATATTTGTCTTTGAATTTTAAGGGCCTTTTATGTAGTTTTCATCCATGTTTGTTGGATGGTACAAATGGATAAACCCAGAAGCTATTGGTACTATTGATGCTACACTTTATATTCTCAAGGTCTCAAAGATCATCGTGAAAAATAACAAATTTTTTAGTTTTTATTCCACTTCCTATTATAGTTCAGTACTTCGATGAGTTATTCATAGGACTCTTATTATTATTTAATTTGTTTTTGAATAAATAATTCGTCCATAGTGTACAAAACCCCAAAGGCACAAAAGTGATAAATTAAGTCTCCCCTCAGTTCTTAAGAGGAAATTATACTACCAATTTCTTCTTTAACCTTCCAAAATGGCAGCATACCATCTACTCTGTTCTGCACTTTGCTATTTTCATTTAACAATACATCCTAGAGATCATTCCATACCAGTACATGTGATACTGTCTCATGAGATGGCTGTGCTGTGTTTTATTTAACCAGCAATTCAGTTGTTCCAATAAATATCCTTTGTATGTATAATATTCTCAAATATCTAGAATAGAAGTTCTGCACATGAAATCGGTGGGTCGAATGGTATTTGAATTTTCAGCTTTGATTTATACCATTAAATTGCTCTCCAAAAAGTTTCTAGAAACTTCATGAATGAAGACCTTAATGGCACTTCCCATCAGGCTTCTGACTTGCTCAGGCATGTACTGAGTACCACGGGGACACTACAGAGGGTCTAGCAGGGAGACTGACAGTGAGTGGAACTCTGTGTGCGTGTGTGTGTGTGTGTGTGTGTGATGTATACTTGGTAAGAAGCTCAAGGAAAAACCATAAATCAATTAATTAATTAATTAGAGTCCTGTTTAAAGCTCTAATAATGAGTGCAAGCATTAGTGGTTTGAATAAAGCTCCTTTGCCTTTATTATTCATTAGAAACTGGCAGTAAGTAATAGGTTTGAATTTCACAGTCCTCATGCTGCTAATCAAAGCACAGAGATCTTAAGATCATAAATTATTATCCCTCACAACAGGACAATAAAGGAAATTTGGTTTTATGAATTGCTAACTGGGACACTGGCTAGCCTCTCTCTGGGTCTTGGGCTGATTCAGAGGGAAGGAGGCTGGTAATCACATCTTGAAACTGGAACACTGTCTTATAGATCAGGTGGGGCACAATTTCCTCAAACTCATGATATTTTACTTACCTGGAGTCAGGGGGATGAGTGGTCTGACCCAGATTAAACAGCCCCTTATTCTCCTTGTTGGCCATGGTTCATGATGGTCAGCTGGAAAGGGTATTTTTCTAAGCAGGAAGAAGGCTTTCCTGTGGGCAGGAGGCTGTTTTTGCTGTGCCCTCTTAGGGAGTTGGTGCTGGGTTTAGATTGCGTGCCTTCCTCTCCCCACTCCTTCTCATTTCCATCTCATATGTCATTTTTCTCTCTACTCCTGCCTCCACTAATGTTAGTCTGTTTTGAGAGGATCTTCTCTTTCCCTGGTGTGTCTTTCTCCACACGAAGCAGCAAAACACCAGGTTCTTATCTCTTCTTTTCGTAGGATGAGGACAGAAAGAAGATGAATCCTTATCTTCTGACTTGCCTTTTTATTCCTCCCCCCATTTTTGAGGCTTTTCACGATTGTGTGTGTATGAAAGTGTGAAAGGAGGAGGCTGTTCCACTCTGCCTACCTTAGCTCTCCCTTCTCTGGCTGGCACACCCTCCCAGCCCACCAGTGTTCTCTTCTTTCTTTCAGTGGCTTGTGTGCCAGTCTCTATGGCTTTTCCTGGGCCACAGGACCCTTGTATCTCTCTTACATTACCTTTCAGTGCCTACTTCACCTGGCATTTCAAGTATAAAGGCTTAGAACTGCCAATTAGCATGAGCAGAGAAAATGTCTTTATCTATCATGTATCTATCTATCTATCTATCTATCTATCATCTATCTACCATCTATAATCTATCTATTTTAGGGGGAGAGAGAGAGAGAGAGAGAAAGAGAAAGAACACTAAAAAGTGAGCATGTGAGTGGGAGAGGGGCAGAGGAAGAGAGACAGAATCTCAAGCCGGTTCCACATTCAGTGCACAGCCTGTTAGAGGGCTCAATCCCATGACCCTGGGATCATGACCTGAGCCAAAATCAAGAGTCAGAAGCTAAGCTGACTGAGCCACCAGGTGCCCGAAAATGTCTTTAAATAAAGCATTGGTTGGGGCGCCTGGGTGGCGCAGTCGGTTAAGCGTCCGACTTCAGCCAGGTCACAATCTCACGGTCTGTGAGTTCGAGCCCCGCGTCGGGCTCTGGGCTGATGGCTCAGAGCCTGGAGCCTGTTTCAGATTCTGTGTCTCCCTCTCTCTCTGCCCCTCCCCCATTCATGCTCTGTCTCTCTCTGTCCCAAAAATAAATAAATGTTGAAAAAAAAATTAAAAAAAAAATAAAGCATTGGCCAACACAATCATACTTTATGACAAAAGTTTATTAGGATTAGGTCAAATAGAAAACTTCATGCTTTGCCATTTGCATATTTACCCGGAATGACCAGATTATACTTAGCTGAGTATAAAACAGTTTGTGCCCCTGGATCCTACTGTTTGGAAGAAAATCAATATATGTAGCAGTGTGTCTGACACCACCATGGTTAATAGCCTAACAACTGGTTAGCAAAGCATATGTTATTTTCAAGCTTTGGGCCTGAGGAAGACATCCCCTACCTCCTTCAGAAACAGACCCATCATAGCCTGGGCACCTAAGACTAGAGCCTGCTTTTTCGGAGTCTAATATTAACATCTGTATTTCAAGAGAAGCTAGGCTTGAGGTATCTTTATGGCTTAAAAGGCACAGATCATGCAGCTGAATTAAAAGCTATTGTGTCGGTCTGTCTGTCATGGGCTATGAGCCATATCTTGTACGAGGAGTCCCCAGGCTGCATCCTTGAGTCTTCAGTATGGTCTATGCATCATCGGCTCTGCTCCTCTAGCTTCTGCTCTTGCTAATCAGCTGTGGGTGTGGGTCTGGAAGACGGGTTGGGACTCCTGCACTGTCTCCTGCCACGTGGAGAACAACCTGTGCTGTGGAATCTCATTACTCAGCGTACAGAGGGGACCTGCCACAGGGCTAAGGAGTGACTCAGATGCAAGCAAGGACGGGGAGCCTTGTTCTTCAGGTAAAATATAGTATGGAGAAAAGAAAACTGCTCTTCCTGGAAGGGTCCTACCAAGTTGGAAAACAGAGCTGCATTTAGCGCAGGGTACACCCAGCTGGAACTAACCCTTTGATTCATTCCATGGGAGAAGCAGCTTGACAAGAATGCCCATGAGAACAGTGGGTCGCCACACGGCACGGCTTCTGTGAGGCCATCAGCAGTGGTATCGATCCCTTGTCTGGGCTTTGCAAATAGCCCTGAGGTCATTAAGGGCACGTGGGAGTCTAGGTCTTTATTAATATACAAATAATCAGGTACTAAATAACTTGGCATAACCTCCAGCTTAGAAGCCAGATGTTTATGCTCAGAAACTTTTTTCCTTATTTTTAAACTCTCCCTAATGAAGGGAATGAAATCCAAAATTGAAGCGAAGGCCTGGAGAGCTGCCTACTGAACGGAAACCCCTCAGACACAAGGGTATCTGTTCCTCCCTTAACAGCAGCGAGACTCCTGACTCCCTCGCTTCTCTGCCCTTCCCACCCCACCCAAGTCGCTAATAAAAATGGCTGCTGTCAAAAACTTAAATTCAGTTGCATAATAGAGAGGGGTGACAATAAATTCTCATTTCTTTAGGCACCAGAGGATACTTGTGACAAGGTTTTGATTCTCTTCAATTTGTGCTCTTACTGCATTTTCCAGCTTCTATTCCCCATGCTGCCTCCCCAGCTTGGCTTGTATCTCTCAGTAAGCCTGGCATTACTTGTGATTACGTCTGCACTGTTCACCACTAATTCAGCTGGGACTGACCCGGAGTCTGCTCAAGCTTGAGTTCGTAGCCTCCTAGGCCGAGATCCCCCTCGTAAATGTTGTCTTTGCTTGGAGTCTGCGGTGAAGCTTTCTGGTCCAGACCCAGCCCTGCAGGAGGACTGCAGGGCGAGGTGGCTTGCTCCTGGTAACTCATGGCCAGTTCGTCCTGATTCACAATGCATTCTACATCTTCCTCTTTTAGCTGCTCCTGGATTTTGGGAAGAGAGAGAAGTCACTTCATGATGAAGAAAGCAAGAGCAGTCTGACAGTGTTAGAAAGTAGGGTGTTTGTTTTCCTTTCTTAATGGCCCTGTCTTGCCTTGGCTGAGGTACCTGCTGCAGGCAGGTGTCGCGTTTCCATGTCCGTGGGCATGGTGGAGCATTTCCCCTGGAAGACCTGGAGGCATAACACAGCCATATGGGGCCTCCAGGCCTAAGGTGAGAATTGGTAGAGAGCGCGTGCTCACCGAGTGCCTCCTTGGGTTAAGGGAGTTAAAATAAAATTCAGTGGATTTCTTGAACTGGTACATGACTAGGTTGAGAGGAGTCAGGAGTTAGGAGAATCTTGGCACCTCAGAGTACGGAATGATTCTCAGTGTTGGTTTTGGAACACTCCTGCCTATCACGAAATTCTCAAAAGGCAGTTTCTGTTACATTTTATTTGAAAAGTGTGTCCTCACAGCATGCTTCTTGGGATGGGTATCACAAAGCTAAAAATGGTTGGAAGTCACCATAGTAGATAATGACAGAAACTAACTAGATCTGACCAACGTAGTTTTCCTCAGACAGAGCTTTCCTTGAAGGAAAGAATTAAGATTTCAACTCTTCCTTCATTGGCTTTGGGAAGACCATACAAAATCACTCATAGAATGAGCCCTGGCTAGGTGACTGAGGTCAGTGGTTTCCAACGTTAGGCCGTTGAATCCCTTGGAAGGCTCATGGAAGCACAGATACTGGGCCCCAAGCTCAGAGTTCTGAGGTGTGGGGGGGTGCTGATAATTTGTATTTCTAGCAAGTTCCCAAGTGATACTGAGGCTGCTGGTCTGGGGACACACTTTGAGAACCACTGCCTTAGGCCATTGTGTCCTGAGCACATCTGAGACACATTTTTCTCTGTTTATGCAAGGGAGTGCATAAACCTCCAGCTGGACAACCTCCAGGGGCGCCACACACTCCAAGGCTTTGCTCCTCTCCAATCCCTGATGCTGGTTTGTTTGTAATGATTCTAATTGCTTTTCAGCATTTTTTATTCCACTCCCTTGAGCTATAAAGCACAGGCCTAATATTCAAAACCTCAAAACACAGCAGTTTGTGAGGACATGTTACTTCTTTTATGTTTTCTAAATTCATTTTATGGTTAAAAATATTGATTAAAAAAAATTGTATTCTTAAAAGAAGAATGAGCCCACATAAGCAACATCTGAAAGGAAAAGAGAAATGCTTCTTGGTGCAGTAAATTTTAAAACGCTTCCTCCTCAAGCTGGGAAGTAATAGCCCTGAGGTTCCTGGGCTCATCGGTATTCACCAAGCCCGGCCCACTCCGGGCAGTTACTCACCCCATAGGCCTGCGGACTGGTGAGCAGCCGGGAAATTGGCCCGCACCATTCAGGTAACGTGGTGGTCAACGGAGGACCAGAGTGGGTTAAAATTGGTTTCAGATATCTGTAAGGCCTGTTAAGGAATACTTGCCAAAAGGAAGTTAGAATTTAGTTTCACACACAGCACAAACCTTTGCATGCAGTGAAAGAGACAGTTATGTTCACCTTTAAATCCCCTACTCCCTCATTTAGGAGGCAATTTGGCCTGCAAAAATTGCTGTTTATAATCTTTGCTCCACACACTTTTCCAGCCCTCCTGGAGGTCTTTAATCATGAAGAAATGGGGACTGGGCCAGCCAACATCAGAGAGAGGGGTGAATGTTCCTCTTCTCCTCCCCTCCCCCCACCAGTGTCTCATCTGCTTAGAGAATGCATTCTTAAGAATTATCTTAAAACAATAGCATAAAAGATTGTGTTTTCTTAAAACTGCACACATAGCTTAAACCTCCAGTAATTTTCACAAAGAAGCAAGAGGTATTTCATAAAATGTTCAGTCACTTTAGGACTGGGTAGTGAACATTGATTGTTTTCCAAAATACTTTATTTTCACTATTCAACACAGGCACTTTATACTTCATACATCAATGCGCTTCTATACAAAATTATGTAAATAAGCTGGTGCCAAGTTCATTCTATTGTCTAGCACCTGTCTTTCTTATCTCTTCATCCCAAAGTGCTCTAACAAGTTAAAAGAAAACCCTGTTCATCTAAAGCTGTTATATTTCCCTCTAATCTAGCAATAGTGAAACCCCTAGAGGCTGCCTCAGGTTGCCTTATTATTTCTTTTTTTTGCTCAAAGGAAAGTAGTGGAATTATTTCCCCATTCCATCAGACACAACTTTTAAGCTTTATATTATTTCCTCTGCTGGAGAATATTTCACCTCATCAACTTTCTGAAAAGCTATAATAAATAGAGAAAAGGAAAAATGGAAAGCGGTTAACTTCGTTTGGCTTGTGAAAATCTGAAGTCATCCCCAGGCACTAAGGATGTGAGAGGACCTTGGAGATGGCTCTCCTGGAACCCATCTATATCTGGACACCACTCTGTCCTTCCTGTGATGCCCGAGCATGTGACAGCAGAGGGAGATGCAGCCTACAGGGGCCAGGAATCTTGTTGCCTCTGGCTTCAAATCCTTCCCCATCAAAGTGGTGATGAAACAGGAGATACTCATGAACACAGTCTAGTTATGATGCAAGGAGATCTGCTTAAGAGCATCTATAATTCCAACTGAAAACGGAAAACTTGGCAATTCCTTTCACACGGGCAGCTGTTGTGCTCAGTGAAGGACCAGAGAAGATGTCAAAGTTCAGAGCCTGGCATTCCCTGTAACATTTTTTGAGTATGTCTGTGACTCTGGAAAGCCTGTGATGGTCTTCCATTAATTTTCATTAAAATTGTCATTTCCTTCATTGTATGGATGAATGAATGGAAGCCTAGAGATATAATGATATTAAGTAATCCAAAAGCTCCCATTGCTATTTGAATCTGCCACCATCATCACTAGCAAAAGATAAATGAGCAGGGCAGAATCATGCATGTGACCAGCTGGTTCTCTAGAGAGAAACGCTTGCAGACCTTATCCCTGCTGACGAGCTGTAGACCTTCTCACATAGGGGCATGTGAGGATACATGGTCTTATTAGGGTTTATGGTGTGAACAGGTGAGCAAAAAATACTTTTGTAGGGAGGTGAGATGGGTAAGATAGATGTATAACTGTAATGTGAATCAGGGAAAATCCAGCCAATTTTATTTCAAGATGGAAAAGTGACAGTAAGTATGCAACATTTTTAGAGATGTCATATTGAAAACAAAAACAAAGGGGCGCCTGGGTGGCTCAGTCGGTTGAGCGGCTGACTTCGGCTCAGGTCATGATCTCATGGTCCGTGAGTTTGAGCCCTGCGTCGGGCTCTGTGCTGACAGCTTGGAGCCTGGAGCCTGTTTCGGATTCTGTGTCTCCCTCTCTTGACCCTCCCCCATTCATGCTCTGTCTCTTTCTGTCTCAAAAATAAATAAACATTAAAAAAAAAATTTAAGGGGCGCCTGGGTGGCACAGTCAGTTAAGCGTCCGACTTCAGCCAGGTCACGATCTCGCAGTCTGTGAGTTCGAGCCCCGCGTCAGGCTCTGGGCTGATGGCTCGGAGCCTGGAGCCTGTTTCAGATTCTGTGTCTCCCTCTCTCTCTGCCCCTCCCCCGTTCATGCTCTGTCTCTCTCTGTCCCAAAAATAAATAAAAACGTTGAAAAAAAAAAGAAAAAAAATTTAAAAACAAATTTAAAAACAAAAACAAACCTGAAGAGATTTGTCAAGGCTTTAATTGTTTCAGAGAGGCCTGGGCAACTTTCTCTATTTGAGGTTCTCAGAATATTGAAAAATTAAATTATATAACACCAAAATAATGTTACAAAAGTAAGGCACAAATTTAGAATTGTGTAATGGACATTTTCTTGTTTTAATCCTGATGAGGTATCTCTTTAAGTCTATGTGTAATGTTACTGGAGCTAACACTTAGAGGCGAAATTTTAGCTTTTTTGAATGTGAGGCCTGGACCCCAGGGGGTACCATTTGGCCTCTTTTGGATAGGTTCTGGGATTTTTGACTCTCAACGCCTTGGCATAACTGTCGTCTCTGCCACTTTCTGACTGTGTGAACTGTGGTCTAGTTATTTACCTCTGTGAGCCTCAAGTATTGTTGTGAATATTAATGGGAAACAACATTATGCAAAAATGTTTTTAAACTCTATGTGCTATTCACATGCTATTTATTTTGTTTTATTTTTTTTTTTTGTCATTACTTATATATTTATTTATTTATTTTT